GCTCACGCCTGTAATTCTGGCCAGCCTCCCCAGAAAACCATCCGTGCTCAGGAAGAGCGAAAGACCCGTAGGGAGACCACAGGGCCACAGAGGCCAGATGCCGTTTGGTGGCGTGCACCGGCTTCTCTGCGCTTTCTGGTTCTCCAATTGTCTTTGTAGTTTCCTCAAGTTTTTATTTAGTCTGAACCTTGATGTTCTGAGCAACTACTACACGAATGATTTCTTTCCGGGGAGCTCACTGATTGAACCCACCACCCCTTACCCACCTCTTATCACCAGTAAAGAAACTGGAATCCAGAAACTCTGTCTGGGTTCCGGCTCTGATAATCACGCAAACTATTCAGCCCTGGGCTGCACGTAGTTGTTCACTCCTGTAATTCCCAGCTAGCCCGGACTGCCTAGCGGGCCTCTCTATCTTCTTCCTCTTTCTTTGCCTCTGCAACAAGGCCTCCTCAGTGCATTTGGTGGTTCAAAGGCCAACGCAAATCTCCCTTAGAAACACGATTTCCCCAAGCCTTTGATTTCCTGAAGCCAAGATCTTTGGGCCAAATGTCGGAGATGGGCAGTAAACCAGTGCTCAGCGTGTGTGGACCCCGTTGAGAGGTGCTGGGAGGGGGTGGTGGTCCAAGGGGGTTTGGAAGACCACTGGGGAGGCCCGCAGAATTAGCTCTCATGGCCAGCTCTCTTGGCCCAATTAGCACCAATTTTTTTTTTCTCTTTGTATTTCTGATGTAGGATGTGGCTGGGTGAATCAGGAAGAAAAGAGAGGCTTATTCTTTGCTCTGGGAAATATCCCGAATATTTGGCTCTCAAGTCAAACGCCAGCTCTGGGCTGAAAAAAAGCTAAATCCAGATATGTTATATATTTATTCAAGGCCGCAATTGGCCAGGAAACGACTATAAAACACACATTTTGAATAAAAAAAAAAAGAGGGGAGATTTATGGGACATTTGCGAATCTGAGTCATAGCTAGCTCTTGCTCTCGCTCTCTTTCTCTCTCTCTCTCCCTTCCCAAGCCAAGATCCCTAATCACTAACATATCCCCAGCTTGTACACTCGGTGGGCACTGAATTGCTTCCTTCTGGTCCCATCCCGGCTAGAGATGTGCCCTGGTGATTGGACCATTTCATGTGATGGCCAGCCGGCCAATGAAGGACCAGTTCACTGGGAGCTTAGACAGGGGCTGCTTTTCTCCTTGAGATTTTATTCATACGTATCTTTGATCAGTGGGGATTTGACAAATTATTTTCCTAGGAGTATCTCTATCCGTAATACGATGGGGAGGGTGGGGTGCTGTGAGGAGCAATGGATTCACATGTACAGCATAGCCCTCATGTCTCAGAAGTTAGAATAATGTAAACGCTTTCTTCCCAGTGTTTAGATCTCTCCTTTCCCGCTCTCCTCCTCTCCCTTCTCCTCCCTTACCCTACCTCTTTACTGGACGTCATTCAAACCCTGAATTGGTTGGCTTTAAGTCACTTCAAGGGGGAATATTCCAGAAAACCTGGTGGGCTTGAGTCAAACAGTCAAAGGCCTCAAAAGGTTTCCCCCCAAGAGAGGAAATCCTGCCATTGCGAGGGGTCTTTGCTCATGCTTTGAAGGTGCTAGCCTGCCAGTTAGGGACAGAGTGACGCCTGCCATCACAGAATTCAGAGGCTGAGGCGTTAACCATCGGCATGACTTAACGAACCACGGAAATGAGGCCAGCATCCAGTCCTGGCTGTGACGCTGGTACCAAGATGTTACACGATGCTCCAGCCGGGGGGTGAAGAAGGATTTCTGGGATCTCTGTGGTGGTTCTTTGCAATTGCGTGTGAATCCATGCTTATCTCAAACTTCAACAATACTTTGGGTGCCAATATGGAGGCCCTGTCCCTGAGCTTCCTTTTGCTCAAGGCTCGCGCTCTACCTTTTGAGCCACAGCTCTACATCCATCTTGCGGTGGCTCATTTGGAAATGAGAGATGGCTGGCTTTGAACCACCAGCCCTCAGCTCTCAGCCTCCGGAGTAGCTGGGATTTCAGGCGTGAGCACTAGAACCCGGCTCAAACTAAAATCTGTAGGAGGAAGAGAGAGAATCTGGCAGCCAGGGAAGGTCCTGTTCACAGATGGCTTGACCCTGCCTTGCTTTGGGCTCAAGAGTCTGGTGGATTTGGAAGGGACCCTTGGGGAGCAGGAAGAAGAGAAAGAAGCAAAGCCATTATTGGGTGGACATGCCACTCCAGGTCTCTGCCTGGTGCTTATGTACCGGGGCATCAGCTCCAGCCTCCCGGCCAGGACTGAGGTTATACAAGTGTGTGGTTGAACGGGCGGAGAGTTACAGCTACCATAGCCATCACTACCACTTGATAGCTGGCATCAATAACAGGTGACAGGCAAGTGTGACACATGCCAAGTTTTATGATTTAATGAATAATTTGTCATTGGCAAGCAAGTTGCTCCTGCTTCAAGAAGCAACCGTTTCCGGGGTGGACTGGGGGTGTAGCTCAGTGGTACCGCACTTGCCTAGCTGGCCTGAGGTCCTCGGTTCAATGCCCAGCATTGCAGAAGGAAGGGAGGGAGAGAGGGATAGAAACAGCAAAGAATTCATGGCATTAACTTTGCTGCTCTGGCCTCTTGTGTTACATAGAATAAATTCACAAATCTGAAATTCCTGGGGTTTAAAAACACATTGGCCAGGCACCAGTGGCTCATACCTATCATCCTAGCTATTCAACAGGCTGAGATCTGAGGATCCTGGTTCAAAGCCAGCCTGGACAGAAAAGTCTGTAAGACTCTTATCTCCAATTAAACATCAAAAAGCCAGAAATGGAACTATGACTCAGGTGGTTGAGCACCAGCCTTGAGTGAAAAAGCTCAGGGAAGGTACCCAGGCCCTGAATGCAACCCAAGTACTGTCACAAAAACCACACCACATTGATCCATGGGTAGTCCAAAGTGGTTGTTTGCACTGGGACTCCCCAACCCCCACCCCCCAAAAAAAAGAAACACCTGATTGGAACACAGAAAAACAAGCATTAGTTGTTACCTACTTGTGATCAACACCACTGTGCAATGCATTGGAATGCCTAAAGCTGCTTGTTTTCCAATGCTAATACAGATCAAAAATGTTTTTAAAAAAGCTAGGGCGTACGTAATCTCCTTCTCCTTCTTGCTCAACTGCAATGGATCTGAAGGCCCCTGAAACCAGCAGAAAAAATCAACTACATGAGAGTAAGAATCACAGGGGGACATACCTGTTTCCCCCACCCAATGTCCCCTCTATTTTCTTTATAGAAACACGAGAGAGAGAGAGAGAGAGGATGCTCAAGTCCACTGCACTTTTTTAAGCACATGGTATTTATTAGGCATTAATTGGCACACAAATATAAGGAACGAGTACTTGATTCTCACCCTCCTCCCCCCCCCTTAGCAACATAAAAAGACAAAAATCGAATAAAGACACACATTCAAACGTACACACTCACATACTTGAACACACTCCTTCTCACAAATTACCCTGTTCTCTTTATTAGGGTCAGTTTTAAAAAATAAACAAAAGAACAACAAAACCAACAGCAACAACAATAACAACTTCTTAAATCGAGAAAGCAAAGCACATTCAAAAGAAAAGGGGGGGAAAAAAGGAAACAACACAAAGTTGATTTTGAGTATCAATAAAATTAAAAGCTCTTGGTCAGCTTCCACGCTGAGTGTTCCTGTTTATTAATTAGAATTCCTATTTATAAATAAATAGTACCAGGAAAATATTACATCTGAGGAACCCTACACGTTAGGTACACATTTGGAAAAACAAAACAAGAAGAGCCAAGACATTTTTACTTTCCGCTGTCCGTCCATGCAACTTCGTGTGGGCATCATCTTGGCAGGGACCTGATGGAGGAAAGCACTCTGCCTCTTCTTCTGAAATTGTCGATTTTTCTCAGCATCCCATTCTTGGGGTCGTCGGTGATGACGTTGAGAAGCTCCGGGCTGGCTTTTTTCTTTTCTCTCAAGGAATATTTATTTTGGCTTCTTTTTGGAAAACCCATTTATCAGCACAGGGCTGGCACGCTGTAGAACCACAGTCTCGCCCGTGTGCAAACCAAGCTTTTTTTTTTTTTAAGTCTTTCAAAGCAAGATTTCCGGACAGGAAGCTATAGGCCAACATTGTAAGGACAGATGGCTGGACAGCACAGTGGAGCTGCGGAAGACAGGATTTCAGATAGAGCCTGACTTTATCCTAAGGGCATCCTGCCTCCCATCCCTAACCACTAGGCAAAACCAAGCGCCTAGAGGCTGGGTCATCAGAAGAAAAGAAGAAAAAAAAAAAGGAAAATACCCAGCGAACCTTTGTCAAAACATCACATGCAGAGGTAGGTGCTGCTCTTAATCAGAGGCTGATGGTGGATGGATGTGGGGGTGTGGGGAGGGCTGGTTTATAAGAAGAGAACCCCACAAGTACATGTTCTGAAACATACTTGCCTCGGTTCTCCCTCTGATAAGGGACTGGGTCCCATTAAAAAAAAAACTAGAAGAAAAAATATATATATTATTATTTATTATATAACAAAGTCAACATTAACACCAAGACAAGGAAGGATTCCCCACTGCAAACCAAGACTGAAATGCTCAGTGAGGCCGGATGTGCTAAAACCCCCAAGAATAAAAAATAAGAATAAAGAACTGGGGAAAACCTGGATGGGGAGGGGCGGGGAAGGCTTGTGGCTGGCCAAGACTAGTGGGGGCTGGTGTGGGGTGGCACTCATCTCTTTTTAAGTTTTGAGTCGAGGTGACAGTCACAACTGGTTTTGAATTCTGCTAAGGAGCAACTGATTCGATCAGTTTGAAACCACCTTGGGTGTTCCTGTGGCACTGGGGCAAGATGGACAGTCTTCTTCCTGGTTCTCTTGGCTTCTGTGTGTGTGTGTGTGTGTGTGTGTGTGTGTGTGTGTGTGTGTGTGTGTGTGTGTGTGTGTGTGTCTTTCTTGCTCAAGCGTCTGTAGGAGACAGGCCGACTCTTAGCTATTTTCGTTCCATTCCGGCACCATGCCAACTCCATGTGCCGAATGGTACTGGTGGGGAGAGAGGGCCCTGGATCCCCCGTGTGGGTACAGGAACTCCGGAGGTTGAAGGCTGCCGGGGGACTGGAGACCAGTCTGGGGTCCACACTGCCTGACCACAGGCTGGTGGGCCATGGAGGTCTGGTGCTGGAACATTCCTTCCCCCAGCTGTGGGGAGCCGTGGTTGGCCATGCCAGCCAGCCGGGGGACCAGAGGCCCCGAGGTGAAGTGAGCAGAGAAGGGCTGGTAGGGTAGCCGGTCCATGGGCTGCACCGTGGTGACAGTGCAGCTGCTGTAGGATGACATGCTGGGCCACGTGTTGCAGCTGATGTCCTCCAGGCTGGGCACGGGCTCGCTGGGGGGCGCCGAGCTGGCGTACATGCACGCCTGCCGCTGGGCCGACTCTGTCCTGTAGGAGGCACTCAGGCCTTGCTGCTGAGGGTACCCCGAGCGGAAGAAGGGGTCCTCCTCGCTGGGAGATGTCTCCATGTAGGGTTTCTTATAAGGATGGTCTGTGCTGGAACATTCTTCCTCTGTTAAGACAGGAGAGAGACACCCCTGAGGCTGAACCAGCCACCCAATAAATATGCAATAAACATTCGCACAACGTGTGGATGGATGGATGGACGATGGATGAACGGATGGGTGGGTGGGTGGATGAATACATAGATAAAGACAGGGATGGATGAATAGAAAGATGGATGAACAGACAGATGATGGATGGATGGATGGATAATGGATGATGGATAGATAGACAATGGATGGATGGATGAAAGATGGTTGAGTGGGTGGCTGAGTACATAGATATATACATGGATGGATGAATAGAAAGATGGACAGACAGATGGAGGATGGAGGATGAATGGACAGATGGATGTATGATGGATGGATAGTCAGATGGTAGATGAATGGATGAAAGGATGGTTGGATAGGTGGATGAAAACATAGATAAAAAAATACATGGGTGGATTAGTAGAAAGATGGATGGATGGACAGATGGTGGATGGATGAATGGATGGTGGATAGGTGGATGGAAGATGGATGGCCATATGGTAGATGGATAGATGTACATGTGGTAGATGGATGGACGGATGGATGATAGGTGGACAGGAGGGCTGCATGGGTGGGTGAGCGGATGGATGGAGAAATGGATGGTTGTCTAAATGAGGTCCCCTTTCCTGATGCCTTGTATAATTGAGCACCCAGTTAATATTTTCTGGGTCACTATGAATGAATGCAGTACTGCTTCTTGGAGAACAAGTTCCTTTCTTCCGCTGGGTACTAGTTAGCTCCTGGTGCTGGGTGGCAGAGACAGTCTCTGAAAAGAGACCTCCACCAACTTCAGGGGGCTCAGGGTAGCTAAGACACAGAGCCCAGCCTCTAAAAAGCCTATCCCAGCTTGGTTCTGCAGCTGGCGCTTCTACCCTCTCCCTCTTTCGTGACTCCTGATGGAGGTGGGGGTGGAATTCCCTCCCCCAGCAGGTGATCCTCGGGTCCCACGCCTCAGAACATGCTCTTGTAGCTAGGGCACACAGCCCGCCATTCTCCAGGTAGAGCTCGTCCAGCCATTTCCTTGAAACTACCAACCAAGCCATGCACCACAACCCTTGTGTTCATTCCTTAGCCAGAGATTTCTCTCTCCTCATCTTCTGATCGCTAATAAATAAATGTCCAGGAAATCAGGTGGTAAAGAGAGGCAGAGGTGACCCAGTTCCTGGAGCACCTCCCCGGATCCCTCCATCCTCTCTGAAGCTGTGAGGAGGCCAGCGGCCACCCTTGACCATGGGCCTCACACATCAGCCATGGAGCGGTCATGCACATTAACAATGAGTCCCTTGGCTTTCTCCCCTGAGCTTGGATTGGTTCCGCCATTCTCACAGGTAGACCAGAAGTCTCCCCGTCCGGTGAGGCTCTTAACCGCAAGCCAGATTCTTTTCAGCTCAACTCCTTCTGGAGCCCACCACGTACCCAGAAACTTGCAACACCCTCCCCAAACAAAACAAAACTAAACGATAACTACAGTCTCAGGTGCTCTGCCTAACACCCAGAGGTTTGAAGACAACCAGAGGAGCGAGTCGCCATATTGTTCACCTCACAACTGGATGGGGCTGGGTTTTGTTTTAGGGTTTGGGGTTTTGTTGTGGGTTTTTTTTCCCTGACTCATGAAGACATTGCCACACTCCAGTTGTTTTTGTCCTGCTGGCTCCTCTCTTGGTTCTTTCCCATCTGTTCTTCCTCCTTCCAACCATCAGATCCATAAATCTGAATGTTTTGTTGTTAGACTCATAACCTTTAGGATTTTTATTTAACTAGGGCGTTCCCTTTTTTCAATAATAGAAAGTACAGCTGCAGGGTACCATTGGCATAAGGAAGAAAAAAAAAAAAGAAACCAAGGCAAGCGAACCATTCTCGACCTTCTGATCCCTTTCCAGATTTGTTACAAGTAAAAAAAAAAAAAAAAAAAAAAAGAATAATAAGAAAAAGACCAGAACATATTTTGGAAAAATCGTAAAATGATACATTCCAGTCTTTAATATCCCGGAGCTCTGATACAGAGCCCTAACAAAAACTAGATGCTGGCTTATTGATGAAAGTAAGACCTGGGCATTGTCAAATGCCTCTCAGCCCTCATCACATTGTAAAGAATTTCCAAAGCAAGGATCCAAATGTCAGATCAGCTATGATCAGTGATCTGGATGCAATCTCGGGGTGCGTTTTGGTGAGGATTTTGTTTCTTTCTTTTTATTGGTTGAGTTGTGGTTACTTTCCACAACTGGGAAAAAGGGTGGTAGTCAACGGTTCAATCTCCTGAGGAGATGAGTCATAGACTTGGGTTTAAAAAGTGCTTATTGGGCTGGGCAGTGGTGGCTCAGGCCCATCATCCTAGCTACTCAGAGGCTGAGAGCTGAGGATCATGTGTTTGAAGTCAGCTCAGAGAAGGAAAGTCTATGAGACTCTCCTCTCCAATCAGCCAACCAAAAGCAGGAAGTGGAGTTGTAGCTCACGTGGTGGAGTGCCAGCCTTGAGCAAAAAAAGCCAAGTGAGAATGGAAGGCCCTGAGTTTAAGTCCTAGTACCAGCACTAAATAAATAAGTGTATAGTCAGCGTGACCAATTGTATGCCAGCCCCACAGAACCCAACTGCATCTCTTGGATAGCAGGGAAGTTCCTCCTCATTCTGGCCTGTAATTTTTCTACACTTTTTTTTCTTTTACACTGGACAAATTGGCTCAAGCAACAAATCCAGAACACATATTTTAAGGCACTGTCCTATGTGTAATGTTCGCTCGAGCCCCATGACCTTGGGCCAACCTTGGACCATTCCAGTCTCAGTCCTCGACTATAGATGGGGTCATACCCAAACTTCTTGTCAGGATTCCTTGAGATCATAGTAAGTGCAGCTTGCTTTCTGTCTGACATCCTCGCCTAGTGAGTCAGCCCTCGGCTTTCTGAACTCTCTCTACTCTCAGCTTTATCTGTCCATGTAACCTGGATCGACTCTCTTTCTCTTTTCTCTCTCGGGAGACTAGGCAGATGGCTCTCTCTCTCTCTATCTTTCTCTCTGAAGGTCATCCAGTCCCAGGAGGTATCTGGGTGGATTCCAGAGCTGGAAAGCTCCCAGATCCACTTGTAAATTGCTAATTCCAGTGAGGGAATATGGTCAGCATTCTCAAGGGGGTCATCTGCCTTGCCAGGAGTGTTGGTTCATAGACTAGTCTTCCTGGATAGAGACCCTGGAGGCTGGAGGGGCACACAGCCCCTCCCTCGCCAAGTGAGATGGGGGAGGGCCTGCAATTCAGGCCTTCTGCCCCATGGGACAGTGCTCTTCCCGACTGATGGCTCCTGGACTTCTGTGTCCATGCAACTCCTCCTCTTCAGCCAACATGGAAAGATAACAGCCTTCACCCTTACAATGCATGCATGCATGAGTGGGTGTGTGGATGGATGGATGGATGGATGGATGGATGGATGGATGGATGGATGGATGGATGGACAGGAGGATAGGCCAGTGAAAAGATGGAGTAGATAGATAACGGGTAGATAGGTGGGAGGGCATACAAGTGGATAAATAGGTGGGTGTGTAGATGGATGGTTGGATAAGTGGGTGGGTGGATGGATGGATTGATTGTGGGTGGCCAGGGAGATGGATGGGTGGATAATTGGATGGACAGGTGTAGGTGGGTGAAACAATGGGTGAATGGATAGGTGGGAAAGTATATGAGTGGATAGATGGATGAACTGATGGATGGATGGATGGATGGATGGGTGGATGGATGGATGGATGGATGGGTGGATGGATGGATGGATGGATGGATGGATGGATGGATGGATGGATGGGTGGATGGATGGATGGATGGATGGATGGATGGATGGGTGGATGGATGGATGGGTGGATAAATCAGTAAATGGATTGAAGAGTAGGTAGGTGGGTGGATGAGTGAATAAATGATGGATGGGTGGATGGATGGACTGGTAGGTAGATGGGTGGGTGGGTGAATGAATAGATGGGAGTAATATGGGTAGAAAGATGAATGAATGGGTAGATGGATGGACAAGTGGATAAGTGGGTAGATGGATGTGAGGGCAGATGGATAAGTGGAAGGATGGATGATGGATGAGTAAATGGTATATTTCCTATGTTCTTTCCACTTAGACTAACATGAGAGAGACTGAAACGGTATTGTAGGAAGACCCTCACCCGAGAATCAAAAGACTCACTTGAAACCTCATCTCTTCACCAGCTGAAGCATCTCATTTGTGGGCTAGCTGAGCCCCTAGTGTTTCCTGATAACAGGGCTGACAGCACCCAGTTCATTGGATGTGGTCAGCGTGTAGTTGATGACCGCCCCCAGATCTGCCACTGGTCCATCAATCATATAACCCTAGAACCCAGCCCGGCCCTCCGTCTCTGAGAAATGGCCGTGGGGCACTTCCTCCCCATCTCAGTCTGCCAGGAGAGCTGGAGGGAGGGCCCGAACATCGATTTGCTGAACCCTACCTCTCATACACACAGAGCCCTGAGAAAATGCAGCCTGGGAGCTGCCCACGCCCCGCCCCCTCCACCTCTCAATCAATAGCTGACTTCCCTCTTGAATGTCCAGTTCTGCAAAGGCTCTCCTATAATCTCAGCTGTTAACGGGAGGGACAAGGAAAGACAGACAGAGTGCCGTCCGGGGCCTCGCATCCCGGCTTTGATTGAATGACGTTGATAAAAGACCTTCCCAGCTTTTTTGACTCCATCCATGGGGGAGAGATAGTCTGGAGACAGCCGGGGTCCACACACAGGGGCGGCCGCAGGGCCGCCGGCCCTTTGACATTTCACTGGGGCTGGCAGACAATGAGGGGAAACCAGATAGCGGGCAGGCAGGGGCCCCCGAGGCAGAGAAACCACCCTGGAGCGCCCCAGGAGTACAAGGAAACCCCTGCAATGCCTTATCGGGTCGCATGGAGACACTGAAGATGAATGACTATTTGTTGTCTCTCAGGGCGGGTGGGACACACAGAGCGCCGGCTGGAATGTTCCCTGTCACGGGGCTCTGGGGTGGAAGGAGGTGAGGAGGGCAGAGGTCTCCCAAAGGCAAACGGCACAGCCCACACTGCCCACCCAGTGGGCCTCAGCAGGCCTCTCTGGCCAGGATGCTAGCCAGTCAGGTGACCGGCGAGGAAGCAGGGCTTGATATCCCATCTGATGTGGGGATGGATGAGTGCCCACCTTGCTACACAAAGTCCATCTCCACTGCTTTCTCCAGCTCCTCCACACACAGAGCAATCCTTTCTGTTAGAGTGGCTGTTTCAAACACAATCACCATTTGACGGGAAGCTATTTTCCCTCAGCCACCTCCTGTTATTATAAGAATTGTTTTTCAGCCTGGCGCTGGTGGCTCACGCCTGTCATCCCAAGCTACTGAGGAGGCTGAGATCTGAGGATCACGGTTCCAAGCCAACCTGGGCAACCAAGTCCAGGAGACTCTTCTCTCCCCAGAAAACTGGAAGTGGTGCCGTGGCTCAAAGTGCTACAGCACTAGCCTTGAGCAAAAGAGTTCAAGAACAGCACCCAAATCCCGAGTTCAAGCCCCACAACCTACCCCTCCCCTCCCAAATTTTTTTTTCTTCTGGGAACTTTAGGGACATGGGTCCAGCAGTAGAACACCAGCTGAGTAAGAATTGTTTTTCCTGGCAGGTTTTGGCCAGGTGGTGTGGCTCAAGTGGTAGAGCACCAGCTGAGTGAGAATTGTTTTTCCTGGCAAGTTTTGGCCAGGTGGTATGGCTCAAGCAGTAGAGCACCAGCTGGGTAAGAATTGTTTTTCTTGACATGTTTTGGCCAGGTGGTGTGGCTCAAGTAGTAGAGCACCAGCTGAGTAAGAATTGTTTTTCCTGGCAGGTTTTGGCTAGGTGGTATGGCTCAAGTGGTAGAGCACCAGCTGAGTGAGAATTGTTTTTCCTGGCAAGTTTTGGCCAGGTGGTATGGCTCAGGCAGTAGAGCACCAGCTGGGTAAGAATTGTTTTGCCTGACATGTTTTGGCTAGGTGGCATGCTCAAGCAGTAGAGCACCAGCTGAGTAAGAATTGCTTTTTTCTTGGTGAGTTTTGGGCAGGTGTCCTAGTTCGGGCTGGTTGCTAGGATACACTTTCAATCCCTTTCAAACTAGCCAGTTGCAAAAGAGTATGAACCTAAGTTCTGACCAATCCGAACAAAGGACAGTACTGGGTGTAAGGGATAAAAACCAGGGTGGCACTTTCCTCCCACCAGCTTGCTTGCTCATCTAGCTTCCTGCCTGTCTTTCTGCAAAAGCCGAAGCTCAACCTCTCTTCCTTTGGTGTCCTCATCCCCGCAAGACACCCCCCTATCCCGAGCATTTCCAGCATCCCCACCGCCTGAGCTGGGCCATCTTGCTGCCTCTCCACGGGTGCCCCGTGCCCTTTGGCTCCTCTGCAGGCTGTGTGGCCTCTTCTCACCGGAGAGCTACCCCCTGACACCCACGGGCCCGATCCTCCCTCATCACCGGAAGTTCCGTCTCCTCCCCCCCCCCCCCAGCTCGCAGCCCTCTCTCCAGGCAGAAAGGGTGCCCCTCACCCGCCCTAGGGGCTTCCTGCGTGTATTTCTCTACTTCTGCGCACTCTAGCCTCTTCTTTGCCAGCTGCTCTTGGGGGCTCAGCTTCCGATTTTCTCCTCCTCCCCGTGTGTATCAAACACCGACACATTACTGCATCCCGTGGCCAGCTATCAACAATTACAGAGTTACCTGCGGTCGCCCTGAGTTCCCAGCAAGGCGGGGCAGTGGCTGACAGCCATAGCTGGGCACGCAGTGTTTTCTGTGGGCTCTCTCTCCATCTCATCACACCCTAACGGGGAGTCAGCAAGGGAATCCTCCCTTGCCCAAGAGAGGTCATCAGAGGCCCAGAGAGGAAGCCGCGCGCCCAAGGCCACACAGCTGCCAGACCAACCACTGCCATTGTTTGTGCAAACAAGCCAGCCCTGGACGCCACCCTGACTTGATCCCTGGGAAAGGCAAACGCTCACGTCATCAGAGGTTTACTGGCTGTGCGTTCAAAGTGCTTTCCTCCTCCCCCCGCCTTCCTTCCCCAGCATCTCTGTATAAGGGGACTGCTGTAAATATTGAATCTAAACTGCGCTTTGATTCTTTTTAACTTCTCCTTCCCTTTCCCGCCCTCTCCACCTTTTTTTTTGGTCTGGTATTCATTTAATCGACCAAGCTCCCTAATTCAAACCTGGTGAGATCTTCATGTTTGACCCAGTCCCCCCAAACTGATCTTCAGGGCAAGAGGAAATTTCTAGAAAGCCGCTAATGGTCGCAGAAACAGGAGAGGCTGATGGTACGGAACACACACCAGCTGGATCTCCAACTTACACACCAGGCCTGAGTTCACATTCAACTGCAGAGAAGCCGGGACATCTTCTCGACTTTTCCCGGCCTCAGTGTCTCCTCTGCCAAGGGTGTTAGCACTTTTACTGGACAGACTTGTCAAAGGCCCCTATTAGAGTGCACCCTTCAGGAGGGAGGGCCCAGGGCAGGGTGTGTGGACAGGCCCCGATTTCCCGGGGGCAGGATTTGCCTCTTAGTACTAGCTGCAAGTCAGGTTTGCTCTCGGGCCATCTGGCCCCCAGCAGCCACCATACGGCGGATGTGCTGGCTGCCGGGCTAGGGAGAGGAGCGTGTTGGGATGATATTGTTCAGACCTTCAAGATCCAAGGGGTTTGAGCCATCTGGAGGCAAGGCTTCCACCAAAAAGGCCCTGGAGCCCACGCCAGGACCTACACTGGCTTCCTCCCTTCAGACGCCCAGGATGGGGAAGCCACATTCTCGGCTCTGCTGAAGGGCCCTGGTTTTATGGGGGCTTCGAGGTGTGGGGTCTCCTTCAAGGCCCAGGTTTGGCCTCCTGGCCATCCAAAGACACCAGGCCAACTGCCAAGACTGTGCAGTGTAACAGGCCATGCAAAGATCTGGGGCTTTTACAGCAAAATTGGCTACAACCGAGTCCGTCCTGCGCTGACACCTTTATACCAAGACTTGGTGACAAGTCTGACCACAAGAAGCTTATGAGAGAAACTTGGAGAGTTTAGGTAGCAAATACCCAAATGCTAAAGGATTGCTGATTGTCTGATCTTAAAGGCCATAGGTTACATGCTCAAGATCACCTTGGCCTCCCTGTGTCTCTCCTCGAGCCCTGCCCTGATGCACGGACACCCTCCTGGACTCAATGGCTGGAGCGCTCAGTTTTCTCCTCTTTAACCATGGCTGGGTGCTGGTCAGATGTCAGGTGCTATGCATCCACATTTGCAAAGTGGGAAATTCATGCAACAAGTCAGCAGCAGACCCGAGAGGCCAACCGGGGTGTATCCAGCCTCACTGCTGGGGCTGGCCCCTCTACCCATGTTCCACGCAGAATCAGAGTTCCAATGAGCCAAGCCTGACCACCCTATTTTCCCTCCCTCCCCTTGGTGGTACTGGGGTTTGAACTCGGGGCCTCATGCTTGTGAGGCAGGTGCTCCACTGCTGAGCCGCGCCTCCAGGACTCAACATCTATTTTAGGCCCCCTGTCCTAGCTAGGACAACAGGCCCACGCCACCATACCCAGCTTCTCCCGCTGAGATGGAGCTTTCTTGGGGATTTTTTCCACCTGGGCTAGGCTGGCCTGGGACTATGATCCTCCAGAGCTGGGCCTCCCACAGTGAGAAGCCGGCTGTCCCTGTGTCTAGCTAGTTGAAGAAGCAAGTTGCACAGCTCAGGCTGGGGCTGCCCTTGAACTGGGATTCTCTAAGTAGCTAGACTGACAGGTGCAAACCACCAATGCCCGGCTTCATTTTTGGTTTCTGAGAGCTCATGTCCTGTCTTGGCCCGCGCTGGCACAGAATGCTCCATCTTCCTGCTTGAACCTCTGTAGCTGGGCTTGCACATGCCCTGCTAGAAGTTTCGGGGTGGGGGAAGAGGGGGCTGACATCATCCCTTCCGACTTGGATGCCTTCGGCACAAGCGATCTGTTTCTCGTTTGACAAAACCATGGCGCCCCTCAGACAGGAGCTCAGGGGACCCAGAAGGAAAGGCAGGGAAGGGAAGGGGGATCGCTGCGATCGCTTGCGTGCGGGTGCGTGTTGTGTGAATTTGATCTGGAAAGGGAAAGGGCGCTCAGAAGCCACCCGGGAGAAACGCAGCACCTGTGCCTAAGAGGCGTGGATGGTTACAAGGCTCCTACCAGCTCAGCTAGTTAACAGATCCCAGGGAACCCATGTGGGAACAGCCCCTCCCGCCAGGGGGCGCTGCTGAGTCCGCTCTGCCATGCTCCCTGCTCTCCTGCGGGGCCACACTCTCCTCCACAGGCCACAGGACGAGGTGTAATGGAGCAATCTAAAGCACAACACCAAGACTGTGTGCAGGGAGCCCAGGGCTCAATTCCCAACATACACACTTTAAGTATTTAAGTCAAGTTGGACTATGCATGAAGCACAATGTCGCTTAGGATGAAGGTGTGCACGCATGCACTCCTGCCTCGTGAAAATGAGAAAACAGGTCTGGATATTCAGTTGTTTTTGTTTTCTTCAAGGAAGGGGCTGGCTTCAGATCTTATAGAAGCAGCTTTGGCTGTTAGCCCCTAGGGTTTGAATTTCTCATCATCAGTATGGGATTGAGTGTTGTTTCCACGCTCTCAATGAATGCAACGCACCCACCCACACAGCGGAAGGAAGTGATGGGAGGAAGTCCCGCCTACCTTTCCTCTTGGTGCAGTGGTAGAGGTGGCTCTGCTCGGGCACCAGTGGGTAAGGGTTGGGCGGGGGCAGAAGGTCCTGGGAAGAGCCGGAGACGCCGTTTTCACACTGGTACTGGGATCCTAAGTTGGACGGGGTGGAGAGAGCTCGGGGCTCACTGCCGAACGGGCTGTGGTTGGAGGCCACCTTCTGCCTCACCGTGCTCCGGGGAACCACGGGGTATTCTTTACTGCAAGAGAGAAGATGGGAAATCACAGTTATCTGTGTCCTGCTGCAGGTGGCCCGACCGGCTGAGTCACACCTGGAGAAGCCAAACAAGCCACCGAGGAAGAAACCCAGTTATACTCAGTGGGCTGTGTGTGTATATAGGTTATATAGATAACCTCTCATGTGACACTGTGATTTCATGTCTGTACATTAAGCAAGTAGGACTAGGAAGAGACTGACTAGATAGATAATAGATAGGTATCTGCAGAATGACCAAGTAGCATCTCTAGTGAAGAATGTCTCTCCATAGCCAGGTATGGTGATACACAGGTATAATCCCAGCACTTGAAGCCTGATGCAGGAGGATGAGGGGATTTGAGGTAAGCCTGCACAACCTAGCAAGACCCTCTCCCCAAACATAAACCAGGGCTTGCTTGAGCTGTTAGTGCAGGTGATAGGGGACTGGCCTAGCCTGCACCGTGCACTGGGTTCAATCCCCACCAGGGGACTGAAGACTCGTTAGGGAAGAAACAGAGGAGACTTAGAAAAGGACACCACATGTAATAGGTGCTCCATCAAGGGTGGCCATCACTGCTATTGCTAAGTTTGGGGGAGAGAGAGAGACGAGGGAAAAGGAGTAGGCTGAAGCCGGGAGAAAGCAGCACGGAGCGTAAGAGTCAAGGCGAGATCCTGTCTCTAGCACAGACGCGCATCCTTCCAACTCACACCCTTGCTGTCCCTGCCTGCGAGGCCAGGCTGAGCGCCGTGGGGGCCGGCCGCATCCTCCGGACCCGGCCTCTCACTGTGAGGGCCTTCTTAGTTCTTTGCCTGTAGCTTCCAGGCAAGCCTGTTTACCTCTCAAAGAAAGCTCCTGCCCTGCAGGAGAAGGGCAGTTTCTTCCAGTTATCTTGCTGGGCCCCGTAAGTCTGTATCCACAGCATGTGTTGGTTAGGAGTGATCATAATGGATCTTTTTTTTTTTTTTTTTTTCTTTTTGGTCAGTCGTAGGGCTTGAACTCTGGGCCTGGGCGCTATCCCTGAGCTCAAGGCAAGCGCTCTACCACTTGAGCCACCGCTCCACTTCCGGTTTTCTGGTGTTCATTGGAGATAAGAGTCTCACGGACTTTCCTGCCGGGCCTGGCTCTGAACCATGATCCTCAGATCTCAGCCTCCAGAGTAGCTAGGATGACAGGCGTGAGCCTGCTTGGCTCATAATCAGTCTTATGAGGCAAAAGTGCTGTATGGTGGTGGCTCCTACCCGCCATCTTCACCCCTCAGGAAACAGAGTTGGAGGATTGCAGTTCAAAGCCAGTCCAAAGCAGAAAAGTCCGAGACTTTTCCATCTTCAGTGAACCAGCAAAAAGCCAGGCTGGAGGCATAGCTCAAGTGATAAAGCACCATATGTGAGTGGAGAAAGAACAGGTACAAGTTGGGTTCGAGCCTCAAAAATAAGAATAATAAAAAACAAGAAGGTAAGCCCACGTAGAGACGAAGCCTGAGAACTTTGCACACACAGGGGAAACAAGCAGGGAATTTAACTACGTATTTTACTGTAACACCAATTTGTTTTTTAGGGTTGGTCATTTCTTCTTAGGTGCGAGACTGGGACTTGAACTCAGTACCTGACACTTTGGCTCACTGGCTGGCGCTCTACCATCTGAGCTGCACCTCTGACCCCTATTCTTTTTGAGAAAGGCGCTCACTGTGTATCCAGACTGGACTCAAACGCACGATCCTCCTGCCTCAAACTGTCTCGGGGTGTGATTCCAGGCACCGTGCCTGTGTATGCAAACCCGCCCCCGAGGGGCTGGCGGTGCAGCTAGCTCCGTGGACATCCCTGGACCGCCCAAACCCCCACATGTTCCTGGATGACCATATTTCAACGTACGATTGCTTTCCCTCACAACACACGCCTTGTATTTTGTGCAACGAATCTCGTTATTCTAAGCAAGGGTCCCGCGGGCTTCCACGCACTGAACTCCCGCTCTGAAACCCAGAAGGAGCGTGTACCAGGAAATCCTTCCTCACCTGTATTTTTTCAAATTATTTTTGCTGTTTAAATTCCAAATAAGCTTTGTCCCCATCCGTGCCATTAGTATCTATGAATTCTGGGCTTGTGGCACTACATTGATTCCCGGTAGGGGTGGAGAGCTTTGCTCCTGCCAAGGACTGGTTGGATATTTATTCTATCATCAGGGCCCTTGGGAAATGCTCAGTATGGACAGACATCCACTGGCAGTTAAGAGGAGGCATTGTGTGCTGGTTCTGAATTTCACAGGCTTTTGTGTTGTTGTGGTTGCTATGGTCGACCCTGGGACTTGAACTCAGGGCCCGGGTGCTATGCCTGAGCTCTTTTTGCTCAAGGCCAGTGCTCTACCACTTTGAGCCACAGCGCCACTTCTGGTTTTCTGGTGGTTCATAGGAGATCAGAGTCTCACAAACTTTGCTGCCCTGGGCTGGCTTTGAACCGCGGTCCTCAGATCTCAGCTTCCTGAGGTGCTGGGATGACAGGTGTTGAGCATCAGAACTGGTGGGTTTCTGGGTCTTTCTATGTCCCATGGCTCATACTCCCTGCTGCGTGCGTTAAACACTTAGCTATTTTAAAGTTAAAGCCAACACCTGCTACGTGCCCGTAGCGGCACGCGAGCATGCCCAGGGCTGCTCCACGCGCTCTTGCCACTTCCCTGCACCTCCATTTCACAGATGGAGACACCGAGGCCCAGAGAGACAGCATGTCCAAGGCTCCAATGATACAAAAGACACCACATCGAACCAGGCTCGGTAGCTCATGCCTGTAATACCAGCAGGAGGCTGAGGTCTGGAGGATCAAGATTCAAAGCCAGCCTGGGCAGAAACTTCTGAGAGACGCCATCTCTAGTGAACCAGTGAAATGTTGGACTGGAGGTGTGGTTCAACTGGTAGAATGCCAGCCATGACAAGCAAGAATGCAAGGGTCTGAGTCAAAATCTGGGCCCTGGAGCGCGCACACACACAGCACAAGCACCATTGTAGCCTACTATTCATACAGCCTCCTGATTCTTTCTGTGTCTTTAGTAATGAAATCTGAATCAAGGGCTTTGCACTCGCCAGGCAGGTGCTCTACCACTTGAGCCACACACCCCTGGCCTGTTGAGTCTTGATAATTATCCCCAAGGTTGATCTCAAACTCTCCATCCTCTTGCTTCTGCTGGGATTCAAGTAGCTGGGATTACAGGCATGCACTACCACACCCAGTGATTTCCCTTTTTAAAGCACAATAGGCTTTGGAGAAAAAAGACAAGGGTTTGGGGCTCAAGACTCCCTTCTCTGGCTCCTCAGGGGTATAACCACCCTGGTCCCCTCTCCCCACCCCTCCCCCTCCTTGTCTGGCATGGGTAAACCCCATCAGAGCTGCCAGGAAGGGCAAGTTTCCACGAGACTCCAGACGCATGCACAACACCCAAGGGCGTCCTGGCCCCGCTTCTCTGGGCACGTGAGCCATGTGTAGGGCCAGGCTGGAGCCCCCGAGCCAAGCACCGTCCGAGCCGCCCCGTGGGCCAATGAGTTGAAAGGAATGGAATTCGCTTTATAGCTTCCAGCTACGTCATGGAAAAGAAAAATAAAAAGAAGAAAAATCTAGAAGAATAAGAAAACACTAGCAAAGCTGTCGGATCTCGCCGGTAATTCTATTTGGGTCCCGAGCTGAGCTCAATTACTGGACTGTCAGCGTGCCAAGAGGCAGGCAGGGAGGAATCTCCTCGGGTTTTATATATTTAACGGGGAGAGGTTTTTTAATTAAAGAACTCCTGAAAAGTTGGCTGAGGGGTTTTACAAGGAGACAAATCCACGGACTCTGAGAGATCCTCCATGCGCCAAAAACCCCTCAGAATCTCTCAGTGAGAAAGGACCAGCCTGCCCTTGATTATACACAGTCCCAGAAGCAGAGCGAGAACGAAACGCCAGCCCTCCGCCCAGAAGCACATCGTCTTTCTGTGCCTCGATATGAGGCGCCAAGCCCAGGTAACAGGTGTCAGCATCTAGAGATAACCAAGTTCTTTGTCTCCGCGAGGCCCCAGACACGGCGAGGGGACACACTGGGGGACGGGTCATTGGGTTTGTCGGACAGGACACCCACGGGTCAGAATCTCCACAGCAGAATCCAGGCGATGATTTCAAGAGAAAGCGCCTGCCGGCCTGCACGGCTTTAATAGAGAAACCGGAGCAGGAGAGAATTGAAGCAAGAGCGGAGCCGGACGCTGTGGCTGCCGCCTGTCATCCCGGCTACTTCAAGAGGCTGAGACCTGAGGATCGAGGTTCAAAGCCAGCCGAGCAAGGAAGTCCGTGAGAGTCTTACCTCCCATGAACCACCAAAAGGCTGGAGGTGGAGCTGTGGCTCAAAGTGGTGGAGTGCTAGCTTTGAGCAAAGGCCCAGGCCCTGAGTTCAAGTGCACCACCCCCCGCCCCCCCTCACAACTCCATCCTGGGAAGACCTTCCCACACCTGGGCTTAGACGTGCTACAGAGAGACGCTCAGAGACGCTAAGCACCTGGCCACAGATTGCACAGCTAACGAGAAAACCAGGACGTGAACCGGCATCAGCCCCGGGGTGCTTGCTGTCCTGTAAACCTTGTTCGAAGACGCCTGCGAACCGTCCCAGAGACCGAGGCCACGTCTAGGCCCAACGCCAGTCCCACTGTCTGTATGACCCACTGCGGGCCCGCCCTGCAGCCAAGCCTGCCCCGGAAGAATAATCAGGGTCTCCAGGCTCCCCGGGGGAATGGGAGTCAATGGGGGAGGGGGGCTCTGCCAGGCTCCAGCCCCTCCCTCACCAGGGAGGGCAGTGAACGGCACCATTGTCCCAGGTCTGGGCTGTAAAAATATTACAAGAGAATATTGAAGCCCTTGGCCCGGGCTGCGGCTGCTAACGAACAAATGAACAAAAACGCCTGGAGAGGACATTTTTCCACTGGTGCTCCTTTCAGGGGAGCAGGTGGTAGGGGCGCCGGGGTGGGGGTAGAGAGGGTAGGGGTGAGGAAATCTCTGA